AATGGCTGTGTTTGGGGCAGGTCTTGGACAGTCTAGACAGGTGAAACGATAATGACCTCGCGATCCAGCCGACCTATAGGTCGGTTGGTTAGGCACGCAAGTGGCATTCGGCAGGTTTGTGGGTTCGAGCCCCAAGGGGCTCCCAGGGAGGAGCACTTAGTCCCTTAGTGCGAACATACTGTGATAGTCCCTTGGTGCCAACCTATTGTGATAGTCGCTTGATTAGTGTAGGGTCTATGACCAACATGGGTGTGAGTGTGAGTGGGAGTGTGTGGTGTGTGGGAGAGTTGTTGGCCATGGCCACTGCTGCTACTCGATGGGGGTGGGGGAAGTAGATGGGCGGCGCAGCTGCTGGCAAAGCCCCTCACCGGGCAGCGACCCCACCCGTAGGCTAGGCTACTCCCTGACCACGTGGGGGAAGTAGATGGGCGGCGCAGCTGCTGGCAAAGCCCCTCACCGGGCAGCGACCCCACCCGTAGGCTAGGCTACTCCCTGACCACATGGGTGTGAACGTGAGGAAGTAGATGGGCGGCGCAGCTGCTGGTAAAGCCCCTCACCGGGCAGCGGCCCCACCCTTAGGCTAGGCTACTCCCTGACCACATGGGTGTGAGTGTGTGGTGCGTGGGAGAGTCTTGGCCATAGCCACTGCTGCTACTCGATGGGGGGTGGGGGAAGTAGATGGGCGGCACAGCTACTGGCAAAGCCCCTCACCGGCGGCGGCCCCACCCTTAGGGTACGCTACTCCCTGACCACCACCGATCAGGGCGGGGGGCAACAGTCATCCCCTTAAACCACCAGTACATCCAGCTATAGGCCACGGGCCCTTTTCGGAGGCCCAGCCCAGGGCTGGGCCTCCGAACAAGTTTTCTTCTCAGCAAGGCTGGGGCCGTGTACCCCAGGTTTAATTGTGAGAGTTAGTTATGCTTGGAGGGGTCCCCTGTATAGGCGTAGGAGTAGTGGTAGGTAGAATCTGATAGTGAAAGGTGAAATTGATAGAAGAATATAATAGCTTTGTTTTATACGAGAAAGAAAGGAAGGGGGAAAAAAAACAGGTCAGACTTTCGTGGGAAACTCCAGTTTTTTCTCTCTTCTGGATTATTTTATTTTAGTTTACAAAAAAGGGCGGCCAGAGTGTCGTATGATCCAGGTACTCCGGCCTGGTTCATACGGCCTGGATCATTCCACCGCCGCTTTTGAATTATAAAAGACGGAAAACGGGTCCGGCGTCCCTCACATCATAGAAAAGGTTACAATCCATTCCAAAACTGCACTGCAAATTTAACCAAATGACGAAATCACTATTGTACATAAAACAGATAACCTAAAAAGAAAACAGCAAACCCTACAAAGGCAAAGCGTACCACCCTTGAATATCGCCCAACCCTGAGATCTACCCTGCCACCCACGTGGCAGGGGTCTGTGACCACAAACCCCGCAAACCCACCCACCTCCTTGCGATTCAAAGAGATCACTCCACCCCCCACATTGCCTACCGTAAAACACCAACTCCCTCCATGATGGTGCATTAGCAAACCCTCTGAAATACCCTACCACCCGCGCACAGGGGCCAAAGGCCCCCAAAGCCCACCCGCTTCTTTGCGATTTAGGGTAATCCGCACCCCTGTCCACGTACACTCCCCAAATGGGATCTTCACCTCCCTCCATGATGAAGATCCTATGGAGCAACGCTCTCCAGTCCCATACGAAAAGGATGATAGAAAGGACCCCAAACACTTGTGGAGAAACGAACGCGATTCCAAAACATCAACAAACCTGCACAATTGCCCTATCACCCGTGCGGCAAGGGTCGAAAAGACCCTGCAAACCCACCCTCCTCCTCGCGATTTAGGGCAAACTGCTCCCCCAGTCCGCATCGACCTCCTAAAAGCCCCGCCGCCCACCATGACAGGGTCTTCGCAAAGTGACACGCCGACACTCCCATGTTCATTTCTCCACTTCACAGTCAACCAAACAACACACGGGAAAACCGAAAACGAAAAGGCAAAAACCAAAATCACTAATTAGACTCTTAACCTAATCTAACAGCAGTTAACGATCTCTCCTAAAACGGCAACCAGAACAGCAAATGAAAAAAACCAAAAAAAGAAAAGGCAAAACCAAAATGACTAATTAGACTCTTAACCTAATCTAAAAACAGTTAACAATCACGCCTAAAAGGGCAACAGAAAATGACCACATCCAGGAAAAAAAACATTCCTCTATCTTGACGAGGAAGAAGCTTGACAGCAGTTGCCAAATATGAACTGAACACAACCCTATCATGTCCAAGTCGCCCACGCCTTCACAGCAACAAGGGGTCTACGACCAGAGTCGCAACAGTCCTTATAAGCCTCTTCAAACAAGCAACGACTCCAGCTCCATCACCATCTGGCACCAGCGATCCACAAAGCTACGTGTCTAGTACCAGGGTGCCGAAGCCCCTGATCAAGCTTCATATATGGTATGTTGGCGGCTAGCAAACCCTGCCTCACCGTCAGCC